CGCTGAGCGGCAGAGCCCGGGAGGATCTTACCTCGCCCCGGGCTTCGTCCCCTCCCGCGGGGCGGCCGTGGCCGCCAGGCTTGGCGAGCTGAGCTGCAGTGAGAGTCCCTCCGAGCTCGAAAGCCTAGGGCTTCCTTCCAGCTCGGGAACCAGTCCGTTCAGCCTTCAGTCCTTTGCGGCGTTGCGTTTGGCAAAGGGGCCCACCATCTCCTCCCCCTCCGGCTCGCGTCCCCGGTACTGCATCCCGGATGCAGCCAAGTTGCAATCATTACAGCGATTGGACCCTCCAGGCCGACTCTTGGCAGCGACCCGAGAGAGCTGGGAGAGAGCCCGGGCAGGAAAGGTTTGCATCAGCGACTGGGCAGTACCTGGGGGCCTCGCATCCCCACTTGCTGCTGCCCCTGTCGTCCCCTGACCAGCACTGCAAGATGACTAGGAGGGTTTGGCTGCGGGGTTCACCCTTACTCGCAGAAAAAACCCTCAAAGCGCAGCCTGCGGCTGGTCTGATAATACTGGGGGGTCAGAGGCCACCCAGGAGACACACCAGATAGTGGCCTCCTTGGGGTTGCTGACGCTGTTTGGCAAAGCAATGAACAGTGGTGGCTTTGGAATTTCAGTTACAAAGGGTCGTTGTACTATCTTGCAAACTGTGGAATAATTGCCCAATTCTGCACTCAGCTTGTACAATAGTGGACCTCGCGTTTACATCTTCATAGTTTCTATATGAAAAATAAGTGTTTTTTTTCCCCTCTTTTTTCTTTAGGTAAAGTGTTATTTGCAAATTACTTTCAAGGGGGAAATTAAGCTCCTAAAATATAGAACTGATTTTTTTGGAATCAAAAGATCATGGTTTGAGATGTCCAGAGAAACTGGCCTGCTCCCACAGTTCTTTGATGAGTGCTTTTATGATTTTAAAATCTAAAATCACCTTGCAGGGCTGGTCATGGGACCACAGAGGGAACAGCACCCGAGTGGGGATGGGAAGCTCACAGCTGCTGATGCAAATCTTCCCAGCGCTGGCTCTCTCCCTCTCCGGCTCTGGCTACAGTCAGCCTGGAGGGCCCAATTGCTGTAATGAGTATAAGTTGGCAGCATCGGGATCCTGTACCGGGGACAAGGGCAGGAGGGGGGAGAGCTGATGGGCCCCTTTGTGAAATGCAAAGGCTGGGAAGGACAGAAGGCTGAATTTACTGTGGCCAGTGGTTTTGAATAAAAAAATAAAAAATTGTTAAAAGGCAAAAGAAAAGACATGTTCCATAGCAGTACAAATTGTGATAAAATCCATGAGACTTTTTGAGGTGCGTTCCTTTAAGCAAGGTGGTGGTCCTGGGCTGAGCAGGGGAGGCGCCTTACCCCTCTGGGTTCAGGAGACATGAGCCCATGGCTGGGCCACTTCCAGGGACTCCAACTGATCTAGAGCCCCGTTTATTTTTTTAAAAGATACCTATTATTAATTATGTCTTGCCCTCAAATCAGAATAACTGGGTTATAGGAATGTGTGTGTATATACTGAAGTCACTTAGTGAGAATTTGGCAGTTGTTTAACAATATTTATAAAGATGTCTGCCTTAGAACATAGTTTCTGCAGGAAATGTTGATTGAGTTGCAATTCTAGACTTCATCCTTTCCCCACCAAAAGTTCCCTTTTCTTTTCCCTCCTATGGACCCAATGTTCAGTCAAGAGTCAAGAAGCAAGTTAAGTAGTGATCTTTTTTATTAGCCAAAGATATAACGGGGTATCCACAGAGTTGGGCAAGAGTAGGTTTACAGTGGTTTGTATGGAAAAGACATACAAGTTATGATTATTACAATAGTTTTATTAACTCAAAAGAATGTCACAGTGCAACTTCTTTTGCCCACTCCTATATTTTAGTAGAAGTAGCCATCAGTTATAAAATGTTTATCAGCCTTTCCAAAACCTTGCATGTAAGTTAAGGATCCTCTGTACTATCTTCATGAACACCTCTAGGACTGCATGCTGTATCATATGTTTATTATGACACTAGAGGCCTGGTGCACAAAATTTGTGCACTGGAGGAAAGAGGGTGGTGATCCCTCAGCCCAGCCTGTGCCCTCTCACAGTCCAGGACCCCTAAGCCGGCAGTCGGACATCTTTCTCGCAGTCCGGGACCCCGCGCTCCTTACCACCAGCCTGCTCGGCTGTTGCTCCTTAGCACTGCCCTGGAGGCAGGAGAGGCTCCCACCCCTGCCACTGCGCTCACCAGCCGTGAGCCCAGCTTCTGGCTGAGCGGTGCTCCCCCTGTGGGAGCACACTCACCACCAGGGGACCAGCTCCTGCATTGAACGTCTGCCCCCTGGTGGTCAGTGCACATCACAGCGACCAGTCATTCCTCAGGTTGTTCTGCAAGTTGTTCCTCTGTTCAGTCAATTTGCATATTAGTCTTTTATTATATAGGATTTTATTATAGTGAAAGTGCCAGTGAAATAAAGATTTCTGCTCCCTAGCTTAGGTGGTGGGGGAATTCCCTCTTAAAGATTCTTCACTCATTCTATTTCATCAACTCAACACTTACTGGTTTGTCTACACCTTGTCTTTATACAGAAATCAGAAGAAATAAGGCCATTTCATTTCCCTTTAAATCTGTACTGTTCAAAATGGTGCTTACTAGTCACATGTGGCTATTTAAATTTAAATTAAATTAAAAATGTTTTTTATGCCAGTAGCCATATTTCAAGTGCTGAAGAACAACACATGGTGCATGACTGTTTTTTTGGACAGAACAAAATAGAACATATTATTGCAGACAATTCTTCGGATAGAACTGTTCTAAATAGAGGTGAAATTTTAATTGGGAGTTAAGATATAGTGCATAAAATAATTTGGGAAGTCTTAGTACACTACAGATCCAGCACATCATAGTTTTTAGTATAATGTAAGTAGGTTCTTTGGTGAATAGCCAAGTTTGATGCTTCTCTTGGCTTGTTATAAAGTCCAAAGAAGAAGTAGAAATCTCCTTGTCACTGGAAAGGAGGAGCCTAACAGTGTATTGAGAAAGAAATACTGATGTACATAGAAATGGCCTGTCAGCACACAGAATTTATGGCAGATTGTTTGGATTAAACCCAATAAATTTGCCCTCTTCTCTTATTTACAATAGATTTAAAATGTGTGTTCTTGGACAGTTTCTGCTGTCTTTTTTCTGCTAAGAATAGTTTGTTCGATAGCTTGAGAATTCATCCCATATTTTTTACATTTTCTGAAAAACTTATTCAAATAAGCTGGTGCTAAGACATTGGTGCTAAAGTATAATTTAAAATTCTGAAACGAATCCCCAAATTCAAAGTGACATTAGGAAGTGATTGTTTGGATTGGGTGAAAGAAATTTATAGTGCAATAAACTGGAAAGGAAGTTTTTTGAAGGAAATAATTATAGATTCACAAAAAGTTGCAAAAAAATATAGAGAGAGAAGTCCTGATTTTTTCTCCCACCCCCACTGCTCTAGTTGTCTCCCAATGGTAACATCTTGCATCACTACAGTACAATGTCAAAACCAGAAAATTGACACCTGTACAATCTTCAAAGCATAGTCAGATCTGACCAGTTTTGCATACACATTGTGTGTGCGCGCGCGCATATGTTTTTTTATGCAATCTTCTCATCTGTATAGTTTTTCTCCCACCACCACAATATGATGCAGCACTGTTCTGTCACTGCAAAGCACCCACAACTTAGCCCTTTACAGTCACATCCATCCTCCACCCAATACATCTAATTCCTGTCAATCACCTATCTGTTCCCATCTCTATAATTTCAAAAATGCTATATAAATGGATACATATATAGTATGTACCCTTTTAGCTTGGCTATTTTCCTCCACTCAGCATAATTCCCATGGAATGCATCCAAGTTTTTATGTATATTAATAGTTGTCCCTGTTTTGGATAAATATTCTATGGTGTGGATGTCCCACAGTTTATGCACCCACTGAAGGACATTTTGATTGTTTCCAGTTTGGGAATATTATGAATAAAGCTGCTATAAACATTCAAGTGCAGATTTTTGTGTGAACATAAGTTTTCATTTCTCTGGGATAAATGCCCAAGAATAGGATTGCTGGGTCATATGGTCCCAGCATGTTAGTTTTATAAGAAACTGCCAAACTATTTTCCAGAGTGGCTGAACCATTTTACACTTCCATCAGCAAAGTATGCGTGATGAGTGATGAGTTTTTAATCTAGTAAATAAACTTATGGTATAGCCTTTTACTACACACATTTCTTTTACTACCCACTATGCTACTGTAATTGCTTGTTTATTGAACCCCACCAGACAAAACTTCAAGCCATGGATCCTATTTTGTTCATCTTGATGTCTTTGGTGCCTAACATAGTACCTAATACATATTAGTCAATAAATATTTATTCAGTGAATGAACAAGTTAATGAACAGAAGAACAGCTGAGTCAGCTTGAAATCATATTGAAAATAAAATTGTCAATAAATTATAACTAAAATTGAATTGGATGTCATGGATTTTCCTCCAGTATATAATGACATTTTCAAATCAGGTATTGGCACTCTATAATGTGAGTCACTTGTGGGCAAATAAAAACTAATTGCTAAATTATGTCAGGTCAAGGTTATTCATTGTACTGCTTTGACAATAGCAAAAGATTGGAAATAATCTAAATGACCAATGATAAGAAACTACTTTAATAAAATATTTATACAATGAAATACCACTCGGTTATAAAAAATAATGAGAAAACTATGAAAAGAATGGACATGCTTCAAAAGATAGTAATAAAAGGTTACAGAAGACTATGTAGAGCAGTGATGGCAAATCTTTTGAGCTCGGTGTGTCAGCATTTTGAAAAACCCTAACTTAACTCTGGTGCCATGTCACATATAGAAATTATTTTTGGTATTTGCAGCCATAGTAAAACAAAGATTCATATTTTTGATATTTATTTTATATATTTAAATGCCATTTAACAAAGAAAAATCAACCAAAAAAATGAGTTCACGTGTCACTTCTGACACGCGTGTCATAGGTTCACCATCACTGATGTAGAGTATACCATTCTTTGTGGGAAAATAAAGGACACTAAAAAATAAAAGGTATATGTATAAAGATGTTAATTTTCCTTAATTCAATCAGTAAAGTACAGGGTGTGCCTGGACCATCTTATGCCACAAATTAAAGAAGTACTCAAAATTTATAGGGATGTGTCAAAAGAATACAGGATTCAGCTTAAAGGGACTCCTGGCCAAATTGGGAATAATTTAAGTATTATGAGTAATGATAGCAATAGATTATAACACAATGAATTAAAAAACCCATAAAGCCCAGCTAGAGTGACTCAGTGGTTAGCATTGACTCATGAATCAGGCGGTCAGGGCTCATGCCGGATTGTGGGGCTCGATCCCCAGTGCGGGCCATGCAGGAGGCAGCTGTTCAATGATTCTCTCCCTTCA